CCGGAGGAGCTGGAGGAAGTGTCTGGAGAGAGGGAGGTCTGGGCATCTTTGCTTAGACTGCTGCCCCCGCGACCCGGTCCTGGATAAGCAGAAGAAAATGGATGGATGGATGGATGGATGTACTAACTTTGTGGATAAGTTTAGCTAAAGACGCTAAAAAGTTATGTAGAACTGAGGGTAACTGCAACTTATGACATTAATCTGGTAGCTAATGTTCAAATCCTCAAAACAAAATACTGTGATAAAGTTAATCATTTTGCTATGATACATAGCAATCGGGCGAAGGCGGGGTACACCCTGGACAGGTCGCCAATCCATCACAGGGCTAACACATAGATGAACAATCACACACACTCCTATGGGCAATTTAGAGACACCAATCAACCTAAGCTGCATGTCTTTGGACTGTGGGAGGAAGCCGGAGTACCCGGAGAGAACCCACACAAGCACGGGGAAAACATACAAACTCCACACAGAAGGGTCCTGGGTGGGGCCCGAACCTGGAACTTTCTCGCTGTGAGGCAACGGTGCTAACCATTGCGCCACCGTGCTGCCCTTATCTATGTTTATCTACTATATTTATTTACTATCTTATGATACTGTAAGTGTAAAATGTGAGAAAGTGATATGAATAACAATTTTTGCTGTGTGTTGGGTATTACAGTACAGTACCAGTTACAGTATTACAGTACATCTACTGGGATAACTGAGGTAACAGCATTTCAGTGAAAGACCTGTGGGATAACTTTTCCTGGGGCCAGTCAGAGTCCAGTTCCCTATCTGCTGTTAATAAATAACTCAAAGTCTAAACAGTCTGTTGCAAAGATAAGATAAATTGAGGGAAAAAAATCAAAAACACCCCAATAGCACTTGTTTCTGGTCCATGGAGTAGAATCCTTAATGTGTAGAGTTATTGTGGACAAATGCTGCAAATGAGGAGCATTCAAAAATATCATTAGCATCATCAGAGCAGACAAGAGGAACAGTTTCAAGTCATCCACCAAACTAACTACAATTTAATTTTCTGTGTATTGCTGTGTTATTACTAGCACTAATGTGTTTTTACTGCTCTTTAGCCTACTGCGTTTTTACTATTTTCACTACTTCCACACCTCAGTGGTGCCATTTAAGTGATTATTCAAGAAAGCATAGTGAGACTTCAAGTGATGTGATTTGATGTGTGCAAACCACCATAAGGTCTCTTTGGTGCAGAGGACAGGCCTCGCATGAAATGTAGTTGTGACTATTGTCGGCATACTAAATATATTAGTTATACATATGCTCGATTAACATCTTGTACAGTTGCTGAGAATCACAGTACCAACTAAAAATCCATTCAACCAAACTGATTAGGGGAGTGCAAGGTACAGCCTAACATGGAGCAAAATGTATCATGGACTTTTCTTCTTATTTTACAAGGTCAAACTTATGCCCAATTTGAAGAAATTCTGTCAATGCGTTCCTGAGATATGGGTCACATGGACAGATGGACAGGTGGATGGCCAACATGAAAACAAAAAGCAGCCATGACTATCGCCAGTGTGGGGGCATAAAAAAGGTTTGCTTGTTGTCATGGTAACAGCTGTGTAATTTCACCTGAAGCTAATGCTAATTTCACTCTAGGATTGTTGCAGAGCACTATTGGCAACCTACAAGACAAGTATCCAAAGGCTGTGCATATTATCACTGGGGATTTCAACCATGCTGGTTCAGCACATTGCCAACTACAGATCGAACATCATGGCAGCCAACGGGAATGCTTCGCTGGCAGAGGAGCTGAACTACTTCTTTGCATGTTTTGAAGTGGAGCCACGAGAGGCAGGTGGAGCACAGCTCCCAGCCCACAGCAACCCCTCCCTTACTGTGGAGGAGCATAAGGTGAGGCATACACTGAGGGCTGTGAACCCCAGGAAGGCTGCTGGGCCCAACTGTGTATCTGGATGTGTGCTGAGGGACTGTGTGGACCAGCTGGCTGGCCTTCACCAGGATCTTCAATCAGTCCCTACACCAGTCCAACATCCCACCTTGTTTGAAGTCCTGAATTATAGTCCCTCTTACAAAGAAGCCCACCATCTGCTGTCTGAATGACTGCCGGCCAGTGGCACTTACACAGGTAGTCATGAAGTGCTTTGAAAGGCTGGTCCGGTCCCATATCATCTCCTGCCTCGCACCCACATTGAACAGACATCACTTCACATACAGGGCTAACAGGTCTACAGAGGATGCTATTACCACTACTCTCCACAGTGCTCTGACCCACCTGGAGCAGCAGGGGAGCTATGTGAGACTGCTCTTTATAGATTTTAGCTCTACGTTTAATGTCATCCTTTCTTGCAGACTGGCATCTAAACTGATGGACCTGGGACTTTCGAACTCCATCTGCCTCTGGATCCAGGACTTCCTGTCTGACCGCTCCCAGAGGGTCAGAGTGGGCCCCCACATCTCCACAGCCCTCAGTCTCAACAATGGCTCCCCTCAAGGCTGTGTGCTGAGCCCCCTGCTCTACACCCACTACACACAGATGACTGCACACCCACCTCTCTTGGGGGGGGGGGGGGTAGCCTCCT